GACTCCTATTGTCCACAGCACTGAGCATTTATCAGCTGTTACCCCATTGTTGCATACATCAGCCCTCCAGATACACTTCCCCGCCAGGTATCCTGTCCTTCCCAGTCCATGTCGAGCAGGAAAGGAATTCAGCAGCCTATGGGAGGAGGATGAAAGCAGGGGATGCCTTGTTTCACAAATGAAAGCTGTAGCTTTGACTGTTTGTTTAGGAATATGTAGGGATGGGGCTGAAATAAAGGTTATTTTGGACAGAGGGAGAGCTTTACAGAACCTTCATTCACTCCCTTTGACTGGGTTGCATAGAGGGCTACTGAGCGGGTACACTTTTAACGAATGTGAACTCCTCTCTTAATTAAATTACAGGAAATTAAAAAAGATGCATTTCATGGGCTGGTGGAAGGGGAAGAAAAGGAAAAAGAAGTGATATTTTTCCCCTGAAAAGAGGTCAGGTTTCTAGTCTGTTTAGTTCTGGATTTCTCTCTCCCTCTTCCAGTTTGCACAGAGGAAACATATAGATGCCTGCGTTTGCTTGGAGCTCAAGAGACAGGTCTATTCTCTAATGAACAGGGGAGACTTTCTCCCCAGGGCAATGGGGTATGTTCCCCCAATGAATATACGATAGGAAGGGCTACCATGTGTGTGAATAGTCCACCACCCTCCAGGACCCTTGTGCATCTCGTGCTGGGAAACCATAGGGCATCCCTACTATGAGAAATCTGCAGTCTCAACAGACTAGAAAGAATTCATTAAAATCTTTGTTGGAGATTAAGCTCATGGCTGGCAATCACATCAAGGAAACAGCAGCATGTCCTGTTACGCAGAGCTCGTAAGGAGATGCTCTGTGCTTCAGTGTTCAAGGCTTGAAGGCATCTTCCCCGGCCACAGACAAGGCAGGGCTCCTTCCAGTGTCACACCATCACTTGCACACTCTCATGCCCGTGCAGGATGCTGGTAGTGCTGTGCTGAGGACTCCTCTCTCTAGCTCTGACACATCAGATCTCCAGTGCTGGGAGGTAAGAAATGCTCCTATGCAGAACCAGCTTGGCCTGACCCAAACTGCGATGTATTGTGTCTTTCAGTGCGGCTAAGAGCCTTGTGGTATGCCCTTCCTGATCCTTCAGGCGCCCTTGCAGTTGCAAACACCACCATCCAGATCCGAAGGACATTCCTCATGCCTAATCCATAGTGCTGCCCCTGGAAAACAGTAGATTTCTATACATAGCGCTCTGAAAAGCCGCGGGGTTATTCTACCAGGGTGAAGGGGGTCTGTTCTCTGCAGCGTGCAACACAATTCAAGCCTTGTTAGCATATATGAGAGGAAAAAAAGAGAGAGGAAAAAAAAAAGGTCTCCTTTGTAAGGAGTTTGTTTGTGAAGTGGGGAATGGCTGGGGGTGTGTGTCAAAACCTCTAGAAGATTCAGTTTATTTTGGAGCCCCCAGAGGTTAGATGTAATCAGCTCAGAACACATAGTTTTACTCTTAATATGACATTGATTTTCTCTGCTAGCTGAAAGATGCCTTGATACTCAATGGGAAATTGTCCTTTCCCCACATCCAAGGACACACCTCATCTCTCCAACCCATTCCGGGATTTTTGAATAGGAAGGGCACAACCATAGGCCATAGCTGGGAGCGGAGGTCTGTTCTTGACAGGACCATAAATGCAGTTGCTGTGTCTGACAGGGGACTTGCAAAAGATGCCACTTCAAAGAGGCTTGTGCTTTGCCTGAGGAGATGTAGGAATATTTGGCTACAAGGCTGGATTCTCTTTAGTTGTATCCCTTCCTTTTCTTTTTCCATTACATTTTTGTGGGATGATTTTTAGGTATTACATTCAATTAGTACTGTTATTTTGGGATACACCCTCCTCACATGCATCAAGTGAACCAAAAGGCCAGGAGGCCAACCTGAAAGGAAGCTTCTTTTTACTACCCGCAGAGCACCTGTCCCAAAGGTGTTATTTAACTAGGTCGCAAGACCGGATTGGCAGTGGGGCCAGATCTTGAAGTTATGTTCGCACTGCAAGCCACCTAATCTACCAAAGTGAGATGTCAGCTAAGAGATTTACTACTAAGCATCCGATGGTTCTGGTGAGACCATTCTTGGGATGTTTCTTTTTGAGGAGGGGAAAGTTACCTCATAACATACTCCATCATCAGAGTTCTCTAGACTCTAATTCATTTAAGAAGGTTGGAGAAAATTTCTTCTGCGATCCCTTTCTCTTTTTCACCTCCTCACAGAAAGCTGCGCCTCCCACAGATCTGTTGGTTGAACAAAATACCTTCGTCTCAGCTGTTCCAGCACAAAAAGTTCAGCATCAAGCTTTATCCTATGTAGCAATATTAGCAGGAAAGTTCCTGAAATAGGTGATGGGATGGGAGAATTCCCAGCTTACTGGGTACTCCACTCCCAGCTGTGCTTCATATACCTTAAGGACGTGCCTTAATGTTGGTTATGATGAGGAACGGAACCCCTGACCACGACAGAAATCGCTCTAGTAGCAGCAGCAAGACTATAGCTTGTTTAGTCTCGTCACTAGAGGGACCCCACATATACTCTGGCATCATACCATTTAATTAAAGGTTGAATGTCAGCTCTGCAATGACACTGTGAAAAATCTGGAAAAGATGATTTCAAAGAAGGTTATGTGAACTCATTTTTCCATGTTGGGACATTATAAGTTTATAATCTAGGCTATATCTCACAAGAATATTCGGCAATGCTTGATAGGCTAAGATGTGGGCATCGTAACAAAATTCTACTTTAAAGTAATAAATGATGAAGGCCATAAATTTTACACCCTATGTTTTTAGAATATTTAATAGAGCTGTACGAATAAGGAATGTTTTTGGTCCACAGGATGAATAACAAATACATGAACAAGTAAAAGAACAGTCAGAGACTAGAGGAAAACAAAATGTATTAATTTCATGGGATTTCTTCATAAAATAAGAATAAAAGCATATTACACATATTTTGGAGTACTAGGAATCATTTTGTTGCATTTTGGGAGCTTTCAAGCCTTCTATTAATCCTTAAAAATTTTGGAATGAAAAGTTTGGCTTCTCTGAAGAATATAAATTGGCCGAAGCTGCAAAAGGATGCAAATAATCCACTCTAGGGCAGAGGCTGAGCTGTGTGCAAGGATTTGAATCGATGTTTTACTTAGTCATTCAGTTAAAGGGGGAGGAGGGACCGATGCTACTCACAGATGAATATTTCCAGGAGAATATGAAGATTCCCAGTGACGCAGAGATGAGTGTTTCTGAATCAGGGCTTCCAGCAATGACCTATCCCAGTGTGTGCTACAATTAGCTTTATTTCTGGTAGCTGTTTTATGTCTCATCAATGTCCTAGGAATCAAAGATGGAGCCGGTCGGCCATAGAAATCTTACAGAGATGGCACGGGGTTATAGGTGGTGACTTTATCCATGCCTCATCACCAGAGACAGATCTCTTTGTCAGATGCAGCATCCTTTATTAGTGTGTGCCAAACAGGATCCGTTGTGCTCTGCAGGAGTCGCTGCATGCTACAGAAAAGGGGATCTTTTACCGTTTGTGCAATTCTTTCAAGCACTTTGAAAACAGACATTTGGTCAGAGGAAAGAGAACTGCCATTCCCAGGTTTGTGAACACTCTATAATTTAATCAAGGAGGATTATATCTACCAGTTGTACCAGCCCCAGCAGTTCTGCATGCATCTTGAACCATTTCAGCTTCATTCTGGATGCTGCAATCTGTGCCAACCGTTAGCTCCTCCAGGATAAAAGACTCACCTCCCTCAACCATGTGACCTTGGAAGAACATGGGGGATATAAATTTGAGATGCTGTGATAAGACCAGGTAGAAGGAACACTGCCCTAGCAAAAACCCACCATCTCAGCTTCTCCACCACTTCAGAACCAATAAAAGAGAAAACAGAACTGGGAAAGGTTCAGAGAGGGTGGCAAGGATTACCGAAGGCAAGAAAGGACTTCTGTAGGAGGAATGCCTGAGTTAGGACTCTTCAGGCTGAAAAGATGATGTCTGAGGTCTATAAAGAAATGCAGCCAGCAGACAGTAACTTGTTCACTGTCTCTTTTGTGCCAGAACTAGTGACCAACAAATTAAATGAGCAGGCAGCAGTTTCTAAGGAAACCAAGGGGAGTGAGGGACTTACACAGCATCCAGTCAAACTGTGGAGCTCCTTGACATGGGAAGATGTGGATGATAAGGTGTGCATGGCTAAAAAAGAAAAACAAATCAGAAAAATTGGTTGGAGGAGAAACGAACAGCATCAACAGCTAGGAAAAGTCAAGAAGTGCCACTTGCTCAGGTAATTCCTTTCCCATAATCTACTGGAGGCTGGGAAAGTACTGAGCTGTTTTAGTACAATACACCTGCCCTCAAGAGTCCTTGTACTCTTTCCTAGGCATCTGTAATCTGAGAGACAAGGACATTGGCATCAATGTCTTCCGGTTTGTCCAGTACTATTATAAAAATCTTGGTGCCGGTTGTGCTGTTTCAGATGTGAAGGTAAGCTGTTGTAAGGGGAAGAAAGAGAGGAGAAAAATGGGAGAAAGCAGGAAATAAAGTCTGAAGGAGAGAGTCTTGGGCTCAGAGCATGAGTGTCTGCTTATGGCCAGACTAGGAAAGCCAAATGAAGGTGCGATCAGCTCCTTTTGCACAAAAATTGTTATTTTGCAAAGTCTTTAGAGGTCTGGGTCCTGCAAGACCTGTTCTAGCCTGTACTTAATGCACAATGTGAGATAAGTTGCTGTAAAAATGAGACAGGAGAGAGAAAATCTATGACATGAACCCAAAGAAAGACATGTCCGAGGTCTCGGGACTTCGCATTTGCTGCTAATGAATTAACTCCTGAAATTTTCTATATCCTTGCAGAATCCCACTGATGCAGCCAAAAAGCGTGGGTCCTTTGGGCTTTTCGATCATGTCTCCATGAAGATGGACTGGAAGATGCTGCTAACTGCAGCTCTGTTTTTCTCTGCTTTTTCTCTGCAGGACATGGTGCTGCCTTAGGTCATGAAGGGGCTGCGGGTTCGTCTGTGCATGAGAAAAATGCTTCCTGGTCAACACTGTCTGATCGCAGGGTCCTCCTAGATGGTGCTGTAACCCTTCAGGGTGCGAAGTCATGGGCTCACCCATTGCTCCAGGGGCACCCTAGGGCACGCAGAGGAATGGGAAGTTTAAAAGAGCTGCCAACCGACTAAGTTAGTTCACAGACTGGAGCCAAGTCTGGGACATTGCTCTCCAGAGATGGCTTTGGGGGAAATGGGTGCGAGTCCTTACTCTCATGCTCAGCACAGGTATGACACTGCTGATGGCACAGAAGACCACGAAGGGCAATGGAGAGGCTGAACCACCCATCTCATGGCCTCAGAAACTGGACTAGATGCAAAACCAGGCCCAGCTGCATGTTACCAAGCCGTTTTGTTTTAAGGAGCACATTTGCTAAAGATCAGTGGCAAATCTGACTTCTGTGTAACCCAGGAGCAGGAGGGGGGATGCAAGGGAAGAAAGACACTGAGAGCTGTGGGTCCCGAGTGAAGGAGGAGGCAGAAACACACTTTATAAATGGAATAGGCTTTCTGCCTCCTCCTTCCCCTCCCATGATGGAGGCAGCCACAGACGACTTTGAAGTCCTGTCCTTCAGGCTCTTTGCCATCATTTGTGCTCAGCACTTCCAACAAAAGCACAGTCTCTTGGTGGCAAGAGGCTTGGCCGAGGAGCAGAAGGCAGGATTTTTACATTAAGGGAAGGGCTGTGAACAATTTTGCCTTTATCACCAGAAAAGGGACTGTAAATCCCTCAGAGTTACGGATTTTGGTCCTGCAACTTGATCCCCCAAAACCAGTCATTTAACTTAGGATAAATCTTTTCATTATTGTTATTATTATACGGTTTGTTGTTTTATTTTAAAAGAGAGCGACAGAGAGAAGGGAGAAATTGGCTCCAACGTGGCTTGAAAACAACATTGCAGCCAAAATGTTATTTTATGTATACTGTTTTGCCTAAGCGTACTGTTTTGCCTAAGCATAAGGATATGAAAGGACCAGAAGGCTCAGACCAGATTGCTCCATTTAGAGATGGAGCTTAGTCCGTTCCTTGGCACCAGTTAGAAAGTCAATATTTTCTCTTTCTTCTTTCCTGGCTGAATTTAGTGGAGCAGAGGGTCTAATTCCCAGCTCCAGTTTGGGATGCAGGCGGGCAGGCTGGCAGGCATTTCACCCTGCAAAACCGTGGCCTGCGCAAATTCAGTTCTGGCCATTCCCAGCTCTTTCACACTCACTCATCCAATTCCTGTTTCAGACTGTTGTAATTTTCGGAATGAGTTTGTAGACTCCGTCCTTCTCTAGGACCCAAGGGGCAGCCGTGCTGCCTGGTGTTTGAGGTCCTGGAGAGGGAGAGAGGCTGAACGATCAGGAAGGCTCTCCTCAATTCTCCAGGGAGCCTAAAGAAAGCACAGTCTTCAGCTGCTGAAAAAATCTGCCCTTCTCACGCGCTTCAAATTGTGCAGCCCTTCACCCTGCACACGGACAGCCAAAAGCTGGGCATCCCGCTTGCATTAATGAAACAAACAAGCGAACAAAAGACAGTCGTTTCTGAGGCATTTTTAAAAACTGTTTTTTAACTAATGTCAGTGACAGAGTTCCTTGATGATGCCTGCCGCCAAATGTGCTTTTCAAAAGCATCCCTCGTCACTGCCACCTGTACCAGCTTGCATCTCCACTGGCAATGGTGCCAGCGTTTTGCCGTCGTTTTTTTGGTAACACATCTGGGGCCACTTTCCACCTGCACCCTGGCAACTTTATGGACTAACCAGTGCGCTGGAATGAAGAGAGGCATGTGAGTCACCAGCCTTTTTGCCTCAGTGACGGCTTTTCCTTCTAAAAACATGAATTCTTCGCAGAGACCCAAGAAGTATCAACGCCTCCAGCTGCTGAGGGCCCATCAATACAACGCTGCTGTCCTCTGAAGGTTAAATATCCACAACTCCGACTCCCTAAATCGTGAGGTTGCCTCTTAATCCCCATGAACTAATAAACAGACCGATGAAGATCTCTTTCTGTATAGAGATAAGTTACGTAGATAAATTATGTGCAGACATACACACATGATCTTTATTATCTGTATGCATACAGCTGTGATATTTATATATATATTTATTCGTTTTTTGTAGTAGGTACCACCTTATTTCTTCTCTTTCTTTGATTTTTGAACCTTTCTCCCCTCCCGACTATGCATACGTACAAAGCAGTTTCTTACCTGTTCAAAAGTTTCAGCCCCTAAAATCTGCTAGCATAACTGTATGTTATTCTTTCTTAGATGGGTTCTGTCACAGTGTTTTGAGTGAGGAAAGTTTGCTATTTAAATTGTTTAAACGAACCCAGAGCATTTTGAGACAACTGTGTTCGGGAGATTATGTTGGCAGGCTGAGACCCTCATACGTGGTGATGGGGCACAATAGTCTTTCAGCCTATCTGCCTCCCATCTCCCCCAAAAGGCAATATGGCTCACCGCAGTCTTAATAACTTGTCGAAGGTTTGTTGCAGGGGCAAGAACTGAAGCCAGATATGGTGGGACCCACTTGAATTCCTGAACCATGAGATCTTCCAGATTAAGTCAAATCTCCATCTCCTAGCCCAGAGGTAAGCACAACCCGGATGCAATGACTTTCTGGATGGCTGCAATTGGTTCACCTGCCTTTTTTCTGGGTCTGAGGAGCAGAAAGGATAAAGATTTGCAGCAGACAACTTGAGCTGGACTATTCCTGCAGCACTCTGTGGACACCTGGATGCATCCAACGCCAGAAATAATCAAAAGCAGAAATAACATCCTAATATCCTCTTCTGACTCCTGGGACAGTACTTTAAACAATAATCTATGCTCTACCAGAAATTGATAGTGTTTTGAATTAGCTTGTGATGACCATAACTTACTAGCAGTTGTTATGGGTCTGCAGTCAGCGTCCAGTTATGCCACTGTTCCGTGGACCAGAAAAACAGAAGGGCACTTTGGTTCCTAGAAGTAACGTGTTGCAACCAGGTGTGGATTTATGGAAGAAGCTGAGGAGTTACTCTTCCTCCTACCCTCTCCAACCGCCTGGCACAATGCGTGTGTCACGCCATGAGACGAGATGATAGCCGCAGCTGCCTGTGTGGCCACAGTCCCCTGGCATGCTTGACACCTATTCAACATTTAGGTGCCTTTCCCTGCAGGGTGCTGTGTGAAGGCCTTCATGGGAGGGGTTTACCAGGTATTTTAGTCGGCTAATTGCTAAACAGGTATTTTAGTCGGCTAATTGCTAAATGTTCAGTCTTGGTGAGGTCTTAGATTGTAGCAGTGATCTAAGGAGAACTATCAATCATCCCTGCAAAGAGGAACTCTGCATGGGCTGATTCAGCCGCTCATTTGGACCCCTAGCACACTGCAGGATTAATAGCGAGGACCTTGCCCTCAGCCAGGACTCTCTGCCATTGGTTTCCCCAAATGCTTCAGTCTTACTGGAAGGGGTTTCATTGTCAAGAAAGCAAGTCAGATCTTGAGCTGGGAGAGAAAGAAACTGGTTTCTAAAGGCACTACACCTTACTCTCCCACAGGAGCGTCTCCTAAAAAAGTCATCCAATTCCAGAGGTGCAACTGACTGGGAGGAAATTAAGGCTGTTTTTCACTCTTTTATCTTCTTAAATTCACTTTTAATTGTGCAGCTGGGCACATCTGTGAAGCAGCGGATTTCAGTCTGAGTGGGGAGCTGTTTTTGCTATATTCCCTTGTTCGCATGAATATAATTACATGAATGTAATTGTCTGCTCATCCATGACCATCTCAGTAAATGCAGTGCATATGCATGTGCGAACTCAGTTGCACACAACTGTGTACCACAGTTCAATCATTTTATACGATTGCTGCTGCTCCCATTCAGTAAATAATGGCATCTGCCTTGCAGTAATGATACTTTGCTGAAAGAGAGCTCCTCTTTATTTATATTATTTATCTAACTGTTAGGCCATCCCAGGCATAAATGTCTATCTATCTATCTATCTATCTATAAACATGTCTAGAGGGATAAGATATTTATACAGATGGCAAGAAGATTCCTAAATCATCGAAGTAAATATTCAAATCTTAAAACTTTTATAACCCTCACACTCCAGGATATCGGCCAATTATAATTGATGGGGTCGAGAAGAGATCAGGGGAATACGTTTTCTTCAAGGCGATGAAGTAGAAAAGTGGGGGTATTTGAAAAAAGAAGGGACTCACTTTGGCTTCACTTAAAATAAAATATTTTGGTGATATTTCCTTTTTTTTACAGTAAAGACATTCTACGGAAAAATGAAATACTAGAAAAAGATAGAGGGTAAGCCTGAGGTGGAAAATTTTATTAATCACTGAAGATAGTCAATTCTTCTCTTAAAGCTTATATTTAAAGAAGAAAAACTCACATTGCCATTATCCATCAAAACCTCTTATTAAAATTTGACAGAACAAATTCAGTTTTTATTTTTCCCAAATACTTTATCCTTCTTAATCTTTTAAAAAATATTTTCATCCTTTTTTTCCTCCAGCTTAAATGGCCATCTGAATTTGACATGAGCGTGAAAAGCATTCTTACTCCTCTGCCTTCCTCGGGAAAGGTATTCTTATTATAAAGCTGGTCAGGTTTTAGTCAAAATGGTTACTTCCCCCTACAGGCAAATGATCTCCTAACGTCTCTGTAGTCTCTGGCAATTTTTTTTCCAGAACCGCTGGCCATAAATGAGGAGCGAAAATGCTGACTACTCATTTTGAGAGGCACTAAACCTCTTGTCTTCTCATATAAGGGCATTGTTTTTCTCTGCCTAAAAGCTGTAAGCACAATAAAATGTTTTCACTGACACATGTGTTGGCAGAAATGACTTTGCGAAGCATGTGGTCCCTGTGAGCCACTGATATATGGTGCTCTATTAAATAGTCAAGCCATGTTGATTATTTATTATTCATTGTTCAGATTTATAATAGTGTTAATAGAATAAATATTTATTGCAAAGGCTCTTGTTGTCTAGGACACGGTTATAAAGCAAGCAGAGAACAGCTTGAGTGAAAGACCACCCTTCCTTTCAAAAACCCTCCCGGACTGTGGTCAGATTCCATGTCTCCATCTCCTGACAATGTGAAGAAAATTATTACAACAGATCTGTAGAGTGATTTACAGTGAAAAATAAAGTCACTTCCCAGGATTTTTTTTTAAGTGACACTAAGAAAAAAAAAAAAGAGAGAGAGAGAAAATGTAGCAGAAGGAATTACGCTTTTAGAAATCTCTGGTCTGTTTCTTTCTGTTTTTAGAGACAGGCTTACCAGGTGTTTTAGGGGGACTGTCCCCGTCAGTGTCCATCGTCTCCATACCACTGAAGACGCACCACCATCCGGAGAGTCACTACGTCCTGTCCTGTCTGCAAGAGGGTTAAAGATCTGACCATCATGTGTGTGGGTGGATGGGGAACCTCTATCAACCGAGTTTGTCTGCCACCAACGGCAGGTCGGGCGGATGCTGGGGACCCCATGAGCGTTGGACGGCCCAACCATCCACGTGCCAGTGACGGCTTTCATTCACGCCGGGAAAATTCACTGACTTCAGCAGAGCTGATCTGGACTGAGAAGGACGTAACTACACCAGTATCGATGTTCAGACAACTCCATGTAGCAACGCACGTCAGTCTCCATGCTTTATGTACCTATTTATTTATTTTTAATGAGACCTGCTTAATTTATAGGCCTAGTCCAAAGTTTATTGCTGTTAGTAGAAAAGCTCTCAGTGACAGCAGTGGTTTCCAGCTTAGGCTGTGGGATGATTGCAATGGATCGTTC